AGGGTTTAGGGTTTAGGGCATTTTGATCGCTCTGCTGGTAGTTTGAGCGTTGAGTGTGCAAAGCTGGGGTGTAGGGGCTTGGAGTTTACAGTGTAGGGCTTGGGGTTGAGAGAAAAACAAGTTGTCAATATACTTCGAACAAAAGCTATGCAGAACATATTGCGAACAGACTACTTGCAACGATGTTTGCAGTTCTCGCGACATAGTCGCACTTGGGGCGCCGTCGAATACATGCGAAGGTGCTCAGGGAAGGCAATGCAAGGAATGCGAACAACTACACCCGGCCGGTGCGAACGCACATGAAAGTTTCTAGGCATGGGCACCTCTCTTTGAAGACCCTAAACAACAGGACCCGGTTTCAGAGTCCAACATGCACCCCACCAGCCGCCGAAACACAGAGTGTTGGGCATGGGTTCGGTACTTGGCAGAAACCACAAACCCAAACCCCAAACACAAAGCTCGGAACCCTGCCCCAAAACGCTCAAAAAATTGCTGGAAGCCTTATGCAGTGTTCCCGATGCCTTGGGGGTACAGCTTTTAGAGCTTAGGGTTTAGAGGTTCTAGCACCCTAAACCCCAAACCCTAAACCCTCAACCCCGCCGACCCCTAAAACCCCTAAACCCTAAACCCCTAACCCTGAACCCCTTTGAGTTCAAATCTTGAAGGCACATGGAGGGGATGCCCCAGCCTGGAGGCTATAATCCTTGGACACAACGACCTCCGCAGGACGCACACTCCCAGACCCCCGGGAGGATCCAAAAAGTAGATCCCTTTTTAGGGGGTTCCTATAAAGAGCCCTTAGTAGTATAGGGTCCCAAATTAGGGGTTTTACTTTTGTCTGGGCTTGGAGGGTCTTAGAGTTTAGGCGGCTTAGGGTTCAGGGAGGGTCGGGGGACTTGGTGAGTGGTTCTTTTGTAGAGTGTGTATGTATGTAGATATTTGCGTGTATATATACATATAGACAGAGAGATAGGGCCCGTTCGTGATTTTAACTTTATAATGCACGATAATAAAGAAGGAACCCTGAAGAATAACATTCGTAATGATTTCGCCCTCAAACAAGCCGTCGCAGAGGACACCCGTCGACTGACAGAGCTTACAACGTCCAGGAGAAATCTCGACTGTCAGATTTTTTGTAAACAGCCACACAAACAAGGATCCCATGTTAGGGGTATGAAGGCTCCGAACATGGCCTTCCAGACATCCGAAACCATGCGCCTTTTGGGCCTTCACTCTGGGCAGTAGCTAGCTACTTGTACCGCTCTCTTTCCTGATGCCGGAACCGCCAGTACTGATACCAGCCAAATAAAAGCTGCACTGCTCCTTTTTCCTTGACATCATCTGGGGCTGCTCCACGATCTAGGAAACGGAATTGGAAACGAGAGGGCGCCAGAAATGAGGGGCGCGAATCGACGATCCGGAACTGTAAATGGAGGTTCATGGGACTTAATAAATACGGACACAAGTACCCCAATTGGGGCTATAAGTAGTTCTAAGTATAGCCACCTTATTTATAACCCTAGTTACTAAGTCCTATGAACCTTTAAGTCGGGTCAACTTGCTTTCCACAAGGACCGAAAGAGAACAGGGCTGTTGAAACTATGTGCATGAGCCTTCGGCAAACCGCTTGGCAGAGAATTTAAAGCCTAAAGTCCGAACTGCTGCATGGCGTCCTTGCC